CCCAAACCCTAAACCCCTAAACCCTAAACCCCAATACCCCTAAACCTGAAAAAAACCTAACCCCTAAACCCCTGAAACTCTAAACCCTAAACCCTAAACACCTAAACCCTAACGCTCTAAACCTTAAATCCCTAACCCCTAAATCCCAAAGCCAGATGAAGTGACGTGACTTGCCATCCCCAGGATGGGCTATTAGAGTAGCAATAAAAGTAATTGCAATAGTAATAATCGTAGTAGTAGTAGTAGTAGTAGTAGTAGTAGTGGTGGTAGTAGTAGTAGTAGTAGCAGCAGTAGTCGTGTAGTCGTAGTAGTCGTAGTAGTCGTAGTAGTAGTCGTTGTCGTCGTCGTAGTAGTAGTAGTAGTAGCAGCAGCAGCAGTAGTCGTAGTAGTCGTAGTAGTCGTAGTAGTAGCAGTAGTCGTAGTAGTCGTAGTAGTCGTAGTATAGTCGTAGTAGTCGGCGTCGTCGTCGTCGTCTTATGAAACAGAGCTCTATAAAGACTACTCTCCCTTGAAAAGGGGCTATATGACGAACCTCCCAAACTAGGACCCTATAACCATCATATGATAGTCATAGGGTCCTAATTTTTGGGGGGTTGGGGTTACCAAACTCCCCTTATCCTGAACCTACGGCCTGGAGGAAGCTTGCGGCTGCATTTCGACGGCTTCCCGGAGCTCTGCTCTGTGGAGCCACGGAGTTGATGCCGGATGGGTTCAGTGAATTTCTGAGTGGGAGCTTTAGGTCGCCCATCACACTAGTAACCTTTAATTACCGGGTTATATAGGGTATATATGGGGATATATAGGGATATTACCACAATAATGGAGAATCAAATGGAAAAGAACATGGAAAATGAAATGGAAACTGGGATTATATAGGGGTTTATAGGGGTTAGGGTTTCCCAAAATTAGGGTACCTATTTGGGGGTCCCCATAATAAGGATTATAGTATATTGGGGTCTATATTGGGGTCCCCCTATTCAATGAGAATGAATTTCCCAGTAGGAGTTTCAGGTCGCCTATCAGCACACTAGCAACCTCAAATGAGAGCGTTATGAGCACAACATAAGGTTTTCTCGAATCGGGGATGTAGACCTTTTTAAATTACAACCCCTATTATACTAAGGATCCCCGAAATGGAGCCCTAACTTTTGGAAATAACTTTTGAAATATGTGGGGATTGTGCCATGTTCAGGTTCTAGGACTCTTCATTGACGTCGCTTTGAGTTTTGGAGGGCAGGTTGGGAGGATTCGGAGGTTTTGCCCTTCCCTCATAAATGAGCGGCATCAATATAGACCACAATCTAGTGCAGTCGTTTTTAGGGGCTCAGAAATTCTGGGGCTCCTAATTTTGGAAAGGCCTTTCAGGTTTGAAGGCGCATGACTCGGTCCTCCACCCCTCCCTGCTCCCTGAGTCTTGCTTTGGAGACTTTTTGTGGAAAAGGAAGCTCCGTGGATCACACCTGGATTGTGCAATACCTGGGATTCCTTTTGCGGGTTCCCCAAATGGGGGTTACAGCATATTGCAGGCGTACAAGGTAGGCACCCCTACCTTTGGAAATGCCCACAAAAAGATTCTCCAGCACTGGCGTTGAGAAGATGGCCCACCCCCTTCCACCTAACATGTAACCTGAGAAGGGGCTGTAAAGTCTTCTCTCCTCAATAGATTAGGGAGGGTATGTGTGGAGAGGAGTTGCGGCATCTGCGCCCTCCAGAGTCTGCGTCGACCTTGCAGCAGTGGGAGCCCCAGAGCCCAAACCCCGAATTCCTCAAACTCTCTCAACCTAACCCTGCCCCCAAAAAGACAGTGATGTCATGCAATATAGATTCCAGTATGCTATAACTGGCTATACCCCTCATTATGGAGACTCCGCTGAAAACCTGGGAAACCATCCATGCGGTCCCGGGAGTATCAACAGTATAGCTGCAGAAGATGCAGGATAGGCAGGGTTAAAGGCAGGTCCTAGACCACACAGGGCTTGGGTGTAGGGTTTAGGGCTCCAAAAAGAATAGGGGACCCTGAAAAGGGATTGCAGCGGTTATGTGGGGGTATTTAGGGACCCATAGTAGGGCATTTAGGGTAATTAGGGCTACCGGGTACTGTGTTGGGGTCTCCATAATAAGGATTATAGTATTTTGGAGTTTATATTGGCGTTCCTGCTTTTTCATAGGCGTGAGAGCATCCTTAGTCCCTTTTTGGTGCCTGACCTCCTTCATGGACGGATCTAACGCAAGTCAAGTTAGCAGAGGTTTCTGAACCTGGCTCAAGGCCTACACCTGAACTACACTACATGCTTAAAGCAATTGAGGTACATCCCTTACCCTCCCCGCTTGGTTTAAAGACAGCAGTTTTTGTAGGGCCCTGTTGGGCTTCCAAGTTTGTTTGGGGGTTTGGGCTTTTCAAGCTGAGTCCTTGGTACGGAGAATCGCACGTGATGATCATGGAATGTCCTCTAGTCACTCTGTGGTCGCCATGCTAAGGACTATAGTACAAGGGGTCCATCTTGGGAGAACCTTAATGTGGGAAACCACCCCTAAACCCAAAAAGCCCCCAACCCCTAAAAATCTCAAGGCCATAAACCCCTGAACCCTAAACCGTAAAGGCCCTAGACCCGTAAACCCTTAAGACCTTAAACCCCCAAGCCCTATGTGCCTAAAAGCGCCTAGGGCTTTTCAGTCAGTCGAGGTCATGCCTGCTTGGCATCTGCAGCTGCCTGCGGAATCTCGCCGCCTGGTTTCGCAGGCCTTGCATTGTTTGTTTTCTGTATAACCCCTGGGTTTAGGCTGTAGGGTTAGGTGTTATATAGGGTTCAGGGTTTATGTAGTGATCCATAGGGGAATGGGTGCAGGGTGTAGGGTTACGGGTTCTATAGTGATATATAGGGGAAGGGAAAAGAACATGGAAACAACACTTGGAAATGCGGACTAATTCCTTGACCCTCGTACGCAACACCCAATCAAATGTTCGCATAAGAGACCTGATATATCGAGTACATTTTTTTTTGTGAAGTTTAGGTGGGTGGCATTAACATGAAAATTTCTTAGTTGCTCCTGGGGCTTCGAGGTGTAGATGCAGATGGGTTTTACAGCGTAGGGTGTCGGGATCGGCTTCGGGGGGAAGGGTTGACGGTTCAGGGTGTAATCCGGGTATAGGCCTAGGCCTGATGGTGTAAGGCTCGGCGCAGGAACCTTAACTGGGTTGCTGCTAAGGAA